AAGAACTGGTTCTGACGGTTTGAGATTTAAGGAAGGTTGGTGTTCTTCTGTTGCATTTGGTTTAAGACCAGTTATTAGCTTTTTGATCACTGGGGTGTAATGGAAGTTGATTCTTTTCATCAGGAGTTCACATCAACAAAGGCCTCCTTGCACTTGGTAATGTCATCAGCGCGCTCGGAGATGAGAAAAAGCGTAAAGATGGTGCCCATGTTCCTTACAGAGACAGTAAACTTACACGGCTTTTGCAGGTATATTTGTTTTCAATTTTCTTGATATCACATTTTTCAGTGTTTGCTCCATTCTCAAAAGTTTTGCATGTTAATATCTTAGGATTCCCTTGGGGGTAACAGCAGAACTGTGATGATAGGTAAAATGCAGTTTTCTCTTTTATTTTTCTGAGGAAGTTCTGCTTTAAGCCCTGTCCAGTTTGGTTAATGCTCGTTTATTTTTCTATGCTTGCTATTCGGGTTCCAGCTTGCATCAGTCCTGCAGATATTAACGCGGAGGAAACACTTAATACTTTGAAATATGCAAACCGTGCTCGAAACATCCGGAATAAACCTGTTGTAAGCTATTCAGATATGTCAATCAAAGAAACTAATTATTCACTGAAATTAAACTACTCTAATTATCTATTTCTATTGTTAAAACAGGTTAATAGAGATCCTGTGTCTAGTGAGATGCTAAAAATGCGTCAACAGGTAGAATACTTGCAGGCAGAGCTCTCCTTACGGACCGGAGGATCCTCATGTGCAGAAGTCCAGGTATGTTAACCTTAGTGTCTGGATTTACATGTGGGGTTCCGGCAGTTTTTTTAGAAGTATAAAGGTTAAGACTTGGTGTGATTATGTAGGTTCTTAAAGAAAGGATTGCTTGGCTTGAAACTGCTAATGAAGATCTTTGCCGGGAACTTCATGAGTACCGTAGCAGATGTCCTGGTGTAGAGCATTCTGAGAAAGACTTTAAAGACATACGAGCTGTAGTATTCTAACTGATACTTATTATCCCTCTAATATTACTAGATCCTTGTTACTGTTATGAAATGTCGAATTATTTGGTGGCAGGATGATATTGTTGGTTCTATCAGACCCGATGGGCTGAAAAGAAGCTTGCACAGTATAGAGTCCTCCAATTACCTCATAGTTGAAGCCACAACAGGTATAAGAAAGATAACTAGTTGAAGGTGGAAATGAGTCTTCGTTTAGACTCAAAAGAACGCTGAAACTAAAAGACGGTTATGTTATTCAAGACGAGAGCTTTTATTATATGCAGGTGATTCAAGGGAAATAGACGAAGAGGCAAAGGAGTGGGAGCACAAGCTCTTGCAAAATAGTATGGACAAAGAGTTGCATGAACTGAACCGCCGTCTAGAGGAAAAAGAGGTGTCTTTTACTTGTTGTTTATGTATAGGAATGCCTCGTATTTCCGTTTTGGCTTACAGAGATTTATTCTCGATTATAACTGCATAATCATGTATGAAAACAGTCTGAAATGAAGCTGTTTGATGGCTATGATCCGGCTGCCTTAAAGCAACATTTTGGAAAGAAAATTGCAGAGGTGGAGGATGAAAAGCGATTCGTTCAGGTGGAATATATTTTGCATTGGTGCTTGGGTTTCATTAAAACAAAACATATTATGAGTTCTTGAACTGGTTTCTCTTTTTTTTTTTCAGGAAGAGAGAAACCGTTTGTTGGCTGAAATTGAGAACCTTGCTTCTGATGGTCAAGCACAGAAGTTGCAAGACGTTCATGCTCAGAACTTAAAAGCGCTTGAAGCACAGATTTTAGACCTTAAGAAAAAGCAAGAGAGCCAGGTTCAACTACTGAAGCAGAAACAAAAGAGTGATGACGCGGCTCGGAGGTTACAAGATGAAATCCAATCCATCAAGGCACAAAAGGTATAAATATGATACATCTTTTTGTTTTACTCTAGAAATGCATCCATAATTTTTTTTCAAGTCATGCATATAGACTCATGTCACATTTTCTCTTTGAAAGTACATTAGTTTGATTCTCTTCCTTGCCTTTCTAGGTTCAGCTGCAACACAGAATGAAACAAGAAGCAGAACAGTTTCGACAGTGGAAAGCCTCCCGGGAGAAGGAACTTTTGCAGGTACCTTTGCCTTCTTCTTCGTAATTAAGTCTGTTGATATTTTCTTTCACAATTCTCAAAAGTCTCTTAGATTCTAAGTGCACCTTAAACTTTCACTGCAACACAGTTACGGAAAGAAGGGAGAAAGAGCGAGTATGAAAGGCATAAGCTGCAAGCTTTAAATCAGCGCCAGAAAATGGTAAGCACAAGATTGTTAACATAGAATTTTGAAAGCTTGAACCTTGAGTATTTTCCATTATCTATGAAAGACCAGGAAAGAAAAAAAAAAAAAAAAAAATAGAAGATTCAGCTGTGAAGCTAAAGAAAATATTCACTCTCAGGTTCTTCAGAGGAAGACAGAAGAGGCTGCAATGGCTACCAAAAGGTTGAAAGAGTTGTTAGAAGCTCGGAAATCATCTCCTCGTGACCACTCAGGTATGATCAATAATGTTTTGCGATTTGGTGTTCTGTGGTTTGAACAATGGTAAAATACTTAAAACCATTTAATGGAACCATGTCACTGAGTAATTAGCTGATTGTTGGGTTACATTTTCAAAGTCTGTTTAGAATTGCCCATAAAGTAGTTGATACATGAAGCAGTTGGCATAGATATCTTGGGCCCTGCATGAGTTATCTTTATGTTTTGAGGAATAAGATGGTTACTTTTTGTGTGTTTTGAGATTCTAAGTAAAACACTATTTATGCAGCTGGTACAAATGGCTTTGGAACAAATGGTCAGGTATGGATTTACCATGGTCCCATTTTTCTTTATCTTGTGTTGTTAGTATCATTGTGATTCTTGAGAAATCTAATTCAATTTATGCTCTTTAGACCAATGAGAAGTCGCTGCAGCGTTGGCTTGATCATGAGTTGGAAGTCATGGTGAATGTGCATGAAGTACGTCATGAGTACGAGAAACAAAGCCACGTGTATGTCCCGACTGCATTTAACCTCTTAAATAATTTTAGCCTCACAATGACTGTTTAGTCACTGATAATGCATATTTTGATAATTTCAGACGAGCTGCGCTGGCAGAAGAGTTGGCTGTTTTAAGACAAGTAGATGAGTTTGCAGTGAAAGGATTAAGTCCTCCAAGAGGAAAGAATGGCTTTGCTAGGTACTTTTTGATGAATTTTCATCGCTTTCTAAGTTTTCCCCGGTCCTTATTTACTAGTTTTCGTTTCAGGGCTTCATCATTGTCACATAATGCAAGGATGGCCCGAATATCTTCACTTGAGAACATGCTTGGTATATCTTCTAATTCTCTAGTAGCGATGGCATCACAACTTTCTGAGGCAGAAGAACGGGAGCGTGCCTTTACAAACCGTGGCCGCTGGAACCAGCTACGATCAATGGGAGAGGCAAAGAATTTGCTTCAGTATATGTTCAACTCTCTTGCAGAAACAAGGTGCCTTGAGTTTCCAAGTGACAAACCAACATTCAAGAAAATCGTTTTCAGCATTAGAGTTCAATCTTCAATCAAGCTTTTCATGCATTTACTTTTCCAATGCAGGTGCCAATTATGGGAGAAAGATGTAGAAATAAAAGAAATGAAAGATCAGTTCAAAGAAATTGTTGGCCTTCTGAGGCAGAGTGAGTTGAGAAGGAAAGAAGCAGAAAAGGAGTTAAAATTGAGGGAGCAAGCAGTTGCAACTTCACTAGTAAGATTATGCAACATTCCCTATTATATCCATATTTCAGTCTACTTTAGTTTTGGTTAGTATAGCAAGGCATGAAAAATTAAATGTTGGTATAGGGAACCCCACCGAGTTCAGTGAAACATTTAGCTGAAGACCCGACACCTTCTCCAATGACCGTGCCAGCACAGAAACAGCTCAAGTTTACCCCAGGCATTGCTAACGGAAAAGTGAGAGGATCGGCTGCATTTCTTGATACAAACAAGAAGGTTAAATTCGTTCTATTCTACTTCCTTAGGATTATGTTGGCGCATAAAGAGCTGCAGATACAGGCTTCATTATAAGGGTCTAAGAGTCCTATGTACTTTTGCTGTGTGCAGATGGTACCGATGGGACAAGTATCGATGAGAAAACTATCAGCTGTAGGCAAACAAGGTGGGAAACTTTGGAGGTGGAAGAGAAGTCATCACCAGTGGATCGTTCAATTCAAATGGAAGTGGCAAAAGCCATGGAGACTCTCTGAGTGGATTAGGCACAGTGACGAAACACTCCTCAAGGCTAAACCCCGACTTAAGGCTCTGCCTAATAAGATCATGTGATTAAGGTTTTTACCGTTTTCTGAGAGAATCTTTTAGTGTTCAAGCTCTCTCTGCCTGTGAGTATGAGACTTTTATGGAAAGGATCATACAAATGGGTGCAGGTAAATAATTAATCAATCCTTCCTAGATTATTTAAGCAACTTGGAGAGGATATCATTGTCTTTTTCTAACGAAGATCAATTCATGCACAACAGAGACTAGACTTGCTGCCGTGTTTCATCTGGGAGGAAAACTCTTAAGGTTTTGTGTGATATTGGAAACTTCGTTATTAGGCGTGTGTACCGCATTAAGGAGAACCACCAGGACGAGCGTCGAGCGGCAGGTGCTGCTGATTGCTTGTTGTAGCTAACAGATAGCTGATGGCTTTTTAGGAGTCAGATTGTTCTTTTCATGTTGATAGAATTGACAGCTTATACATCACTAAAGGAGCTGATGAGGAAATAAACCTCATCATCAAGTTGCAGATATTTGTATGAACAATACCGGTTTTATTTGTTCTTTGGTTTGTTGTAAATGATTAAATATTTGTTTAGTGTCCACTTTTGTTCCAGTATCTTAAGATTGAGACGTGAAAATTGAAACGAGAGCAATGTACAAAGCCAAAAAGATACAAAGTACATTCTATACAGTTTACGAGTTCATTGATAAGCATAAGACACATGACATGTAAAGGTTAAGACAAATTTGAAGTGTTATATATCTATCTCCCATTGCATTCAAAGATAAACAACATTTAGCAACACAATATTACAGCGAAGGCAATATGCCGCAGTTTCTCATATAATGGCCAACTTCTCATATAATGGCCAACAAAATAGCATCCTTGTATTACATATTGCTACACCAGTACGCATAGTGTTCATCTCTCCTATGGATGCTCACCAGACCACCGCATTGCAGACAGATAAAGCTGCTTCCGTCAGCAAAGGCATCGAGCATGATCTGTGACCTCCCGCTTTTTTCCAGAATAGATATGCCATGAGAATCTGCTGTAACTGTTTCTTTGGTACCAAATAAGTCTTTTGATGTTGTTGGCTCATGCCCAAGAGGCTGTGCTTCTGTAATGGCACACTCGGCAAATATAGAAGCCAGCTGATCCATTCTAGCTGTTTCTTGAATTCTACGCTTGTATAGTTCACGGGTACGGTTCAATATATGAAGTACCGCCTCATCTCCTCCTTGGTTTCTCATCGCCATCACGACCTGTTCAGAACAAGATAGACTGACTCAGGGAAGGGTTTTTTCATAAAGAAAAAAGTTCAATGCAGTCTATATACAAGTCTCACAAATCAGGTGCACGGGAAATGAAATCGTGATTTCTACAAACGCGAAAAACACTCAAACTAATCCCAGTTCAACAAGGAAAACACTTTTATCATTCTAAAAGTCTAGAAGAAAATCAAAATAATTTGCATACTCAGAGTCAGAAGTCAGAACTAGCAATATTATTATGCGAACACTAAATCAACTATCTTATAATAAAAAGAGATCATTCTTCTACAATGTTATATTTTCTTAATATGATAGTCAATGGATGAAGGCGATGTGATAGGATTCAAACCCGTAAACTACTTCTTTATTCACTTCACCATAGAAGAGACAGACTTTACCAAGGGACGACTGCAATGCCTGCTGTATCTGTTGGCAACTTGATGAAGGAAATGAATGTAATAGATCAAACTAATGAAACACATTCAAGCTATAAAATCCGTCGTTATAATGGTAACTAATGATCATAGGGATAAAATAACGTAACAAAGATGCCAATCTATCTTTGTGATTCATCAAACACAACAAAAGCCTCCAAAAACTAGTTGTTCATCCTAAAGCAAAACAAAAAAAAATCAGCTAGCCGCAACTAATTCGATCTTGCGATCTGCAGAATTCAAACAGCTTAAAGTCTTGATGAATCCGAACCGGTAAACTACTTCATTATTCACTTCACCGGTGTCTTTTAACCAAGCAATGAAGCCGATGCTGCTGTATCTGTTGGGAAGTAGTTGATGGAGATGAAGGTAATGGTTCAATCTTAAGAAACACATTCGAGCTTTCGAATCTAAAGTTATAACGGTGACTAATGATCATAGGAATAAAATCTATCTTTTTGAAAGATTAAACATAACAAAAGCCTCTAAAAAATTAATTGTTCATCCTAATTATGCAGAAAAATATAAGCGAGCCAGTGGCATCTAATTAGAATCTAAACCCATTCAAACAACTAAATCTTTAGGAAGTTCCAACGAACCCTAATCAAAGTCCAAAGGTGACACAGCTCCAAAGAATGTTTCAAATGCAAAAATGGGGAAAAATTAGGAAAAGGAAGAGAAACCTAGAAGAAATCGAAAATACCGCTTGAAGAGCTTGAGATGGCTCTCCTTGATCGACGAGCCTACGAGCGGCGGAGAGAAAATCTCTGGCGGTGCTGGGTTTGTCGAGCATGAACGTCTCGGCGGAGTCGTTATCCATCATCTCGGTCTCGGGATGACTGTTCATGGCGTAATGCATCTGCAAAATGGAGAGAATCCAAGAAAAAAGAAAAAGAGAGACTAATAATAATAAGTGATGAAACGCCAGAGGATTCTAGGAACTTCTTGTCGTATTCCCTAATTTCTCCGTACAATCTACACAACATTTTCAAGCAAAACATAAAAATAAATAAAAACAAATCGGGGCCTGAATCAAGCAAAAAAAAAAAAAAAAAAAAAAAAGGTTCGAGAAAAAAAAAAAACAATTTCAAAAGTCGATTACTTGAAATTGGAATTGTCAATTAATGTTAGATTTTCTGTTTTTAATGTATTTAAGAAAAATATTATAAAATATCTAACTTATTTTTTTGTGTTTCAGATTTTCGGTTTGCTACTAAAATAAAAAAATATCATAAAAATCTAATTTTTTGGAATATATATATATATATATATATAAACTTTCTCGGTTTCTTTCTAATATAGAATTTAAGAATATAAAATATCTAACTTTTTTTATGTTTCAGATTTTCTGTTTGCTATTAAAACAAAAAAAAATAGAGAAATTGTTAAAAATGCCTCTTTTTCAATACTTTTTTTCAAAAATACCCCATTTGAGAGTCCATTTTTAAGTTTGCTCTCTTTTAATTTTTAATGACAAAAACATGAACGTTTCTGTTATCTTAAAAAATAGTATTTTTCACACTTTCTCTTTACACTTATTTGAAACAAAATTAGGTCCACAAAATACAAAATATTTTTTGGCGGGAAAGTGATCCCGCAAATTTTTGGCGGGAAACGTGATCCCGCAATTTTCCCGCCAAAATTTTTTTTTTCGGGAAAAGTGATTCCGCAATTTTTTTGGCGGAAAAATTTTACAAGGTATTTTAAAGGTTTTACAGAGTTTTTACAAGTGTTTTGTAAGGTTTTACAATGTATTTTAAAAGCTTTTACAAGGTACTTATAAGGTTTTACAAGTTATTTGTAAAACCTTATAAAATAGCTTATAAAATCTTATAATATCTTATAAATACCTTATAAATACGTTGTAAAACCTTTTAAAATACATTGTAAAACCTTATAAATACCTTTTAAAAACCTTTAAAATACTTTGTAAATTTTTTTCGCCAAAAATTTTCCCGCAAAAAAAGTTTTTTGGCGGTAAAAATTTTTACGGGAAAATTTTAAAAGGTATTTTAAAGGTTTTACAAGTTTTTACAAAATCAAGTTTGTAATTTTGATGTGTGCACATTCTCATGTTTTACTTATATATTTGTGATATTTTTTATTAAAATAAGGGTAATTTAGACTTTTTTTACATAAAAAGGGGTATTTTTAGAAATTGACAGCCAAAAGGGGCATTTTTGAAAAGGGGTATTGAAAAAGGGGCATTTTTGTGAGTCTCCCAAAAAAATATTATAAAAAATCTTATTTTGGAAAAAAATATATATATATATATAAACTTTCTCGATTTCTAATATAGAATTTAAGAAAAATATTATAAAATATCTAACTTTTTTTATGTTTCTGATTTTCTGCTTGCTATTAAAAATATTATAAAAAATCTTATTTTTGGAAAAAAATAATATATATGTATATATATAAATATAAATTTTCTTGGTTTCCAATAAATAAGTTAAGAAAAATATTATAAAATACCTAACTTTTTTTTTTATGTTTCAGATTTTCTGTTTGCTAATGTATTTTAAAATACAAAAATATTAAAAAAATATAATTTTTGGAAAAAAACATTTATATATATATAAACTTTCTAGGTTTCCAATAAAGAATCATTGGTTCTCTAATGGTCGTGCTTCTGCTCCAAATCCAAAGCTTCCCATTGTTGGTGGTAACCATATCTTTCCACGACCAATCCCTCCTGATCTAGCCTCTATTTACTCCATCTCTCATTTCTCTCCTTTACCTTCTAATGCCTCTAAGGTCTCAAAGCTCCCACTATAAAATGCTCTTGTCGTCTAGTCTGTTGTTTGCTCTAGTTTGGTTGTTGTTATTGTACCACCTACTATCGATGTTGAGATGCATCCGATTGCAATTAATACAGCCTCTACATATCCAAGTCTTATAAGCCCTAGAAATGTGTTTGATGTTATAGAACAAGTTCATGTAACCGAGAAATTCACTACTCTTACCCCAAAATCCACATCTCCATTACTCACAAACAGAGCCTTCACCTCTCATTCCCTTATCCATATCCACTGAAACCTCTGCCCAAATTCCTCCCAAACCACCCATTGCGTGTAAAGTTTAACTACCTTCAGCCACTCAAACCGGTCCACCATCTATCTCCAAGTGGCCAAAAAGATGCTACTGAAAGTGAAGCTCCTGCCGAAAACTTACATCTTCCTCAAAAAAATGTTCTCACAAGTCGTCATGCTCCAGCCATTACACCTAAGAATATGGCTGGTAGACTTAGATAGTCTGTTAATAGATCCTTAAAGAGGTTGGCTCAAGTTTCTGTTACTGAATCAGGAAGACCTACAACCCATATTCCTTACCAGGTGTTCCAAAAAAGTGCTAAGACTCACAAAGATTTCATTATCTGTTTTTCAATGGTAGGTCTCCTCTCTTTCACCAAATCCAAAGTTTACTTTATCATATGTATGGACAGGCCCGTGCCTATACGTATGAAATTGAAACATTCGCTTATGGCCTTTTTTAAAAAAATACATCTTTTGTAGGAGTAAAGAGACATGAGTCAGCTTCTAATGAAAGAGTTAATTAAAGTTTTCAAAATAAGTACTAGCTAAACTAAAAGTATGGAAAACATAAACATAATCAATTGGTAAGTATCTTTTTCATTATAGTTTATTTTATTTTGTATTATTTTTTGGGTTAATTTGCAAAATGGACAGTTTTTTCAAAAGTAACTAGGTTATTTAGACGCGATACTAGCGGCTTGTTGCATACTATGTTATATGTTTGCTATTTATTTTATTTAGTTTTTTTTTACTTGAATTTAAAATTTAAAGAAAAACAAATAAATGAATGACAGTAAATTCAAATTTGATTTTTTCTATAAAATTTGAGTTGTATTCATCTATATACAATGATATTTATGTTTTTTAAAAAATGATTAAGAGTATATTACTTCTTTTAATCAATACAATATTTGATTTTAAAACTCATCTCCTCTTCACAGCCTCTTACAAAATTGACAAAAATGTAATATTGAAACATCATTAGTCGGATTATAAAAGAAATTGTTATAAGATTTATCAATATTATGAAATTTGGAATATGATGGTTAGTGATATGTGTATATTACTATTTATAAAAGATAATATATTTACGTTTTACAACTATTCAACTTTAACAATTATATTTAAATATCATTTATGAGTAAGTTAATTGTATGTACATCATAAAAGTTATGTTACATATCAAAGAATTCATTGTGTAGAATTCATTTTGTATTAATTGTATTTAAAGTATTGTTATAATTTAGTGTGAGCATTAACAACATAATGATAATTATTAGTGTGGAGGTTACAAAATATGAGAAAATACATAAAATATAATTATAATATATTATTATAGAAAAATCTTAAATTATTATATGCTAATGATGTGGATGACATTTGTTTCAATATAAATATGATTGAATTTTTTTGTAAAGACTCTTAAGATTTGATATCTTGCATTTGCTCATATTTTAGTGTTGTTTTTTACTTTACTATTATTTATGTATGTAAACATCAATAAACTTATAAACATATGTTATCTATTACTTTTACAAAATAAATTGTTGATATAACTCACAGATAATTAGTTTGTTTGTTGATATAATTCCCACATAATAGTTCAAATTCATATTATTTGCAAGTGACAAATTAAATTTATA